AAAAGAAGAAAAATGCAGGCTGCTAAATCTCTCCCTTACCCACTGGTTTCAGACACTCATCCCAGTTAAACCTCCCAGCATACATGTTCTGTTCCAGTGCTCCAATAATAGGGTTGGACTTTTCTTCCACATAGGCTTCAAACAGCTTCTCGTCCACCTCTTGGAATGCAGATATGGCCTCCTGGACACAATGCAAAGATTCTATTTAGGATACTGGACAGATTACATGATTCAAAGGTAGTTTATGAAATATCTTATATTAAAAATGTAGTTGTCTTTTCAAATTAATTAGAGTTTGAGTCTCAAATGCATCCACCTGGGCTACAAAAACAAACAGAAAATAAAATTAAAGCAAAATATTAATTCATAATCAAAATTTACCTCTTGCTGCTTAAAAAAGTTGTCATCCTAGTCCAACAGCAATTCAGTAAACAAGAACATGATTTTTTCCATTGGCAATCTCACAATAACTTCCCTATTCATAAGCCCATAACATGAAATGTAAGGTAAAATGTCTCACCTGGGTTATCTTCTCTGTCTCTGGACACTGGTGTTTGTCCATATTCTCAGTAATGTCAGTTAAAATGTCTTACCTGAGCAATCTTCTCAGTCTCAGGATACTGATGTTTGTCCATATTCTCAGTAATTCTAGGAATGGCTCTCTGGATGGTGTGATTGCAGTTGCTCAACATTATCAGAAGTCTCTTGTCCTGAAGATAGTGACAAAATATTGTATTACTTTCACTTAGTCTGAGGAACTTTATTCGAACACGTTTTCACAGCAGGAATAATGTACTAAATGACATATTAATTGTTCTGGTTCTATTTGTACGTATAATCACTGCTGCATTTAGTAAAGCAGTCTTATATCATATCGCATTTTACAATGGGGTAAAGTTATTATAAGAGATATAAAAAACAAACTTGTGAAAAAGCTTGATTTGTCTTTAATTTGTCGAAAATGAGTAAATTTAACCGTTTTTCAAAACTGCATGTGCTAGCAGTAGCCAGTTCAATGATGTTAAAACATCTTATAAATACACTGTAGTCCATATTTTCAGATCAAAAGCTGATGAAATCCTTCTTACATAAGCTGGAACTTTCTCTTCTTGTGTTTCTTCTTCTGCAGATACACTGCTACTCTGTGTTTGCTTCCTGTAGAGTAGAGTTGGACTTTTTTTAAACAAAAATCAAGAACAAAAACTTGTACACAGGGCACTAAATTACCAGCTAATGAACTTTAACTGAGCTATATTACGAGTTCTACGAAAGACAACTGTTATGCCTTTTTAATTCCACCATTCTTATTCCATATCTTATAAAATATACGATGAAAAGAAAATATGATCAAGATATCAATATAATAATAAAAGAACAAACAGTACTACAAAATCTGTCCTGAAAAAATCAAGAAAAAGAGACGCCTACTTTGGCTTTAGTGTGTCTCCTTTGAAGGCCAACTTCTCGATGCAATTTGAGAATTCTTTCACAAGTTGTGTACACAGCGCTGTGGCCTCAATTTGAACATCTCGTTGATCAAACAGCTGCAAATAGATCATAAAAGAAAATGGTTATTTTTCTCAGTTAAAAAAAAATGTAATTCATTCAAAAAATGTCATGTCTTTATTTTGGCCATTTCAGTATATCGTATTTTTAATTCAAGGTTTTATGATATTAATTTAATCCTATAGGATATTAACTATAATTCATAATCTGCATATAACTTTTGCAGCAGTAAGAACAATGTATGTTTTTAGACAATCTATGAAGTTTGTTCAAAATGTTATATAACTGAATAATTAGCCCCTTTTTATGTTCAAAGAGCACATGCCCAAAAACTTCAAAATGAAAATAACATAAATATATATGAAATTAAAAATCATTGTGTTACACACTCAATTACTTTACAAAGATTAGTTACTGAAATTGTGAAAACAGCCTATCAACTGGTCTGCCTATGATAAAACTCACATTGGTCTCTCCTGGCTTCAGCTTCATGACTACCTCATGGAGGTGCTGGATTGTTTCATTGACTATATTCTCAAATAATAGGGGCTGCAAAATAATCATCATAGACCATTTCAACTTTTATTCTGTGAATTTATAAAATAAAATGTTTATCTAAGATCATCTGAGAACTAATCTTTTTCTTTTTGCTTTTAATTTTAACTGTACATACTGTATCAGTGCTTCAAGTTGTTTTTTAAAGTGAATAATATAACATTCTATTGATAATGTAAAATTAATTTACATCTATTTATCTTATATATTTACTATATGCTTTGTCTTAATAAGCAAAAACTTTAATTCAATTTTAATTCACAAAATAACACATATATATTATTAGACATTAAGCAACAACTTAAATAACACCTGATAAAAGGGTCAGCAGATATTGTTAAAGTGACCCACTTATCAAATATACTGTCACAGTGACCTACTTACCAGCTGAGTGATGCCACCACACACATCATCTGTATCCACATTCCAGGACTCCCTCTGGTGGAGGTTCTTCATGTCTGGGTAATATAACAGATGAAGATTAATCAATGTTGGGGTCAGATTTCATTTCTAACAAGAATCAGGAATCATAAGAAGGGTAAAGATGTTCCTTAAGACCAGCATTCTTCATAAAGTAAGCCCCTTTGGAATGTGGATGGGCCATTATTTTGATGAGTTTCCTTTTTTTTTTACAAGTCCACAGAATTTTTTTAAATTCACATTAAAACGTGTATTTAATAAACTACTTTCGACTAAAAAAAATACAACAAAGTATTATCCTTAATTATTTCATACAGCCGTGAAAATACAAAAGTATATACTGTAAGATATGAAAACAACAGTGACATGTTGTCCTCACCTTGAATAGCTTGTTTGAGCAGTGTCACCATGCAGTGTGTTCTCATGTCAAAGGCCAGCTCTTGGCAGATGTTTAGACATTCTTCTGGTAAGTCTAAGTTAGAGAGAGCACCAACACATGACCTGAAATACAACAGATTGTTTTAGGTGAGACAAGACAACAGATTGTGTTAGGGGAGACAATACAACAGATTGTGTTAAGTGAGACAAGACAACAGATTGTGTTAGGTCAGACAAGACAACAGATTGTGTTAGGGGAGACAATACAACAGGTTGCGTTAGGTCAGACAAGACAACAGATTGTGTGAGGTGAGACAAGAACACAGTTTGTGTTAGGTGAGACAAGGCAACAGATTGTGTTAGGGGAGACAATACAACAGGTTGTGTTAGGCGAGACAAGACAACAGATTGTGATAGGTGAGACAAGGCAACAGATTGTGCTAGCTGAGTCTACACAACATATTGTATTGGGATAGAAAAATCAATCAGGACATGGAATGGTGAAATGAAATGCTGCCGACAGTCAGAGCCTAGGAAGCATGCATATATGCAGCCATGAAAATGAAGAAGCTAGATGTAATTGGGCCTGAGACTAGGGCTAATCTAACCTCATAAACCTTACATAGACAGGTAATTCATTATCACACATCCTCACCTGATATATCTCACACAGTGTGGCAGCCAGGCGCCCCGAGTATCATGTTTACTTTCAGACCATTCTCCAAAGGTTTTGCGCAAAGCTGGATCAATGTTTTCCAAGGACTCAGGTAAAAATGCAGCTCTCATCAAATTGGAGAAAAGCTGGATAACATCAGAAGCCATTTTCTGAATAAAATGAAAAAGATTAGATTTAGGGGAAATCAGCAATGACAAGCTTTACCTTCAAATGGTGATTTTAATGTTCTCTTTCTGCAGCATTCTACAAATATGCTTAACTTCCTGAGCTATTCTTCATATGCCAATACTTGTTCATGTACAGCTTATCAACTTGTTAACTATTTATAAATAATCTGTAAGTTTTTTATGTTAACACTTTGTTTACCTTAAACTCCACATGCTTTGAAGTGTCAATCTTTTGGATTCGCTCAGTCTGAAAGCAAAATTATCACTAAGAGGGTTATTCACGACCGTTGATAATATCATGTTATTACAGTTCTCAAAATGCATGTATAAACTATTTAACAGGTTAATGATAAAAATAAGAAAATTATTTTTCTAAGGCTATCAAATACTAAAAGGTAAATAGAATGTTATACAAGTGCTGAGTGAACCACACTGGTTATCATATCAATACAGTTCACCTACCTCTCTCAGGATGAGGTTTCCACTGAAGTCAGCCTGACCTAGCTTCCAGAAGTCATAAATCTATACAGTTCACCTACCTCTCTCAGGATGAGGTTTCCACTGAAGTAAGCCTGGCCCAGCTTCCAGAAGTCATAAATCTATACAGTTCACCTACCTCTCTCAGGATGAGGTTTCCACTGAAGTAAGCCTGGCCCAGCTTCCAAAAGTCAGGGAAACTTTCTGTTAGAATGTCTGTTAATTCTTCAACAAAGAGCACCCTCTGTGGAGTTTTAAACTTCCATCCTACAGAAAAAAAGTATGTAAGTGAATAAATTTTTAGTTAAAAGACATGCTGCATTTAAATAATTTCTTCGAAAGAAAACTATCTGGGTAAATTAAAACATTATGCATTTGATGAAAACCATATTTGCTATATTTTGTGTCCAATGAAGAGAATGAACTCAATTTTAAAGATGATAAATATCTAAGGCCTACCTGCTTGTTCTGGAGACTGCGTTGAGCTGAAACTATGGTTCTTCCCTGAAATAAACAATAATTGAATATTCAGGCAGTCTTTTCGCAGAAATTAAAGTAAAACAGCTTGCATTAAAACAGCACCATTCTTACCTGTAAAAAGCCTTGATGAATTTTGCAACTGATTTCGAGAAATTCTGAAGAAAAAAATCTCTCTATGGTCTATGGCAGAGAGTACAAAGTTAATACTGTGAAGAAAACTGACCTGTTTTAAATCCTGAAGTAAGACTGAACCCTGGCACTGCTATCCTCTGAGAGGGGGTGGGTGGGGCCTCAGTCTCCACCTGGGGCAGCATGAATGACTTATCTGGAGGAAATAAAACATAAAATACTTACTATTCACTTTTACACACCTGTAAACCTTTAATTTGTGCAAAAATGGACATGGGTGACACATTTAAAGGAACAATGTATATAAGTCTATTGTCTATATTTTTTTCAGTCAAGGTGGATAAAACTGACGGAAATGTTGAGTTTTTACAGCTGCAATACAAACCTATTTTTATAAATGTTAAAACATAATTCCTTTATTCTACCCTTTATCTTATATCTTACACAGCTGTCTTTCATATATCAACAAAGGATTTCACCACTCAAATTTTAAGATAAAGAACTGGAGATATTTTCTAAAATAAATGGAAACTAATGACCAACTGAAAATATAAAAGCTAACTTGATCACCAAAATAATTTGCAATCTACCTGTAGTTTGTAACCATTCATCCATTTACCAAAACAAATGATAATATATTAAAGAACTGAAAAATAAATTAAGTGAATAAAAAAAATATTCGAAAATTGGTATTTCAAGCATCAAACAATCCAGTACCCCAGACAACACCCAAAAGTTCCAAGTTATAAAAGCAGCTTTGCCACCCCTCAGAGAAAACATAAACCAAAACAACATGAAGTCACTGGTTTGAAGAAAGCTGGCATCAGATTCTTCTTTTTAAATTAAAGCTTTATTTGTAAGCACGTTATCCACCTCAGTCAAGAATTCAGCAAGTTAATTATAGCAGGGTGGTTAGGACACAATAATGGCAGAGCCAAAAATATGATAAAAGTACAGACTTTCCAGACGGTATCTAGTAATCTGTTGGTTAATCCAGGCTCTTCCATACACCGCAAATTAAAATATATTGTTCACATTTACCACCGGTTGTTACATGAATGGATTTTGAAAAGTAAATATATATACACATATAGTATTTGGTAAAGAAGTTAAGAATTATTTCCCCAATAAGAACCATTTTCTCCTTTAAATTCAGAACCAGCAACTTACCAAATAAAGGGTAAACAAGTCTGGCTTGCTGTATTAACATGATTTTCATTTTATCTATACACTGTGACAGTAAAAGAGATAATATGTCTCCATCACAATTAAAAGATAATATAAATACAACTGTTTTCATAATCAATGGCCCCAAAACTTTTTTATTTATTAATGAATTCAAAACTGCAATCTAACATTCCCAAGTGTCGACTGATGGCTTTCAATTCAATAAATACTGTAATGCCAGAACTTTAACATAATATATTTTCTGACTCATCTCTCCCCATAAAACTCCCTCTTTTAAAACAAATTTAAAAACATGAAACTTAATATTAAGTACCCATGCCTTGCTCCCCAATGATCAAAGTTTACAAGCTAATGACAATATATGACCCCATGTAGATAGACACATGGGGCTAGTTGGGTCGGTCCAACTCTGTAGGAGATTCTTGCTAAAGACAATCAGTGGGATCAGCTTTATTGTCTGACACACCTCCTCGAGCAGCTAGGGGTAATTAACTTTCAACTAGCTGCTTTCAGAGGTGTGTCATTCGGTTAATCTGATTGCACTGAGCAAGAGCCCCTGCAGAGCTGGACCGACCCAACTAGTACGATGTGTTTATCTGAACGCTCCCCCAGAGGCATGAAGCCAGTTAAAGAAGTTAGTAGAAGGTGCCCACCACCTGTGTCCATGTGTCCAGTCTTACAGTCGGTCAGCAGCTGGAGCAGCCACTGTTGCTGGTTGCTAAGACACTCCCAGGCCGGGTCACCTGCACTCTCCAGCTCTACAAGATACCTGGAATTGACGGAAATTTAATTATGTGAAAACAATTTTTTTCTGAAGTTACTATATCTGACTGTAGATGGTTATATCTGAAAATGAGTTTGACAACACTGCGTCTTCATCAAGAGGACTTTGTTGAACAATTCATGCCCAGTGCTAGTCCCTGTGTAGACGATATTGTCATAGGCAAAGCCATCATAAGCTGAGAAACATGTTTTTGTAATGGATTAAAAACTAAATTAATGCTCATTTATGTCCTGGATATTCATAATCAACTTTACAGAAACCATTTCAGAAAATCAAAAGAATTCTGAATGCTATGCAGAGAAAAATCTTTTTTCTGTGCCTAAAATGTAATCTTATAAATAACTCTAAAAGGTGGGCTCCTGTCTTCCTTACGGTGCTCTCACCTGACCAGTTTCTTCTGCTCATCCAAGGTGGAAGGAAGCTCCAGAAGTTTTTTATGCAACATCTCCCTGAAGTCAGCTACACGCCGCTCCACTTCTTCATAAACTGAAATATCCAAACAAATATCTAAACAATAGCTCTCTACATTTTGATAGAAGTCATAATGTTTTAATCCCATTCTATTTCTAAAATACTTTAAACTAAACAGTTTAACTGTATTCCTTGAACATTTCGCTTTTGAACAATTTTGTTCAGGCAATAAATACTGAATCTATTACAAAGAAAACTTCCAATCTTCAAAATATTTTATTAAAGTTTTAATACTTTTCATTTGCGTTTACATTACATAAATCAAATGAGAATTTTTATTTTTAACATAGCAGTTGCATAACTACCTTTTTTAAAGACAGCAATATCTGTGTCCTTAAAGAGTGACCTCACTCTCCCGTAGTCATTGATGACCATGTCATAATCTCCCTGGGAACATATGAAACAAAGAACCTCCAGTAATAACACCATTCTGACATATAACATAGCACAACACTACTCACCATTAGGATGAATAAAACAAAGAACTCACGGAGCATTTTATTTTAGCCAAAAGAACTTATCAAAATCTTATTGAGATGACCGGATTCTAAAAAATACCCTCCCCCAAAAAGTTGCCAAAAACAAATTCATAAAAGTAAATTACTTTAAATCTCAATATTGATTGAGAAAAATAACAATCTATATGCATGCTCTGGCAACCAAAATTAACTTTTTATCACTACAACAGAAAAGTAAAATGTATATCTGATTCCATAAAACATTCAACAACGGTAATTGGTAAATAAAGGTTCTTAATCAAAAATATATTAATCATACCTAAAGCAGAGGGCTGGGGCTTACCTTTTTAATATTTTTCTCCATGTTGCATGGCAGATTGAAGAGAAACTTGAACCTCTGGAGGACGCTGAGAGCATTTCTGGTGCTGTCTGCCCTGTCCTTCCTCCCCAGGACATCTTGAAACAAACTGTCGGCCGTCTTGTTGGCATCTGGGAGCATATGCAAATTTAGTCAGATTATAACTAGAAAACAATCTACAGAAATATGCATACAATACAAATGTGTCATTTTTACAATATTTTTCTATTTTGTGAAGATGTGCATATTTTCTTTTCCCAGTTCTGTCAGTTTAAAAACTCTCTAATGAAATCAGTAATCTTGAAGAAACTTCCACTTTCCATTTAACCTATAAATTCAAAATGTGTGCTCTGCTGATTTCCCTTCCATTCAAGTCCACAAATCACAGCTTACCGCGTAGTAAGTTTTCCAGTTGGTATGTGATACTGCTGCCATCATTGGCCTGTATGTCACGTATCAACTCCTCATGCATGGCTGGCATTGTGGAAAAATAGAATACAAGTCAGGGAAATAAAAAATTGGTATTTCATTTGACTGGGAGTTAATACATCTTCTGTTTTTCCCATTTTGGGGGTTGAATTAAATGTTCTCATACAAAAAAAAAAAAAAAAAAAAAAAAAAAAAC